TTCCATACGGGGGTAGATTACACCGGTTTCATAAAAGTCAAGACGAACAAAACAAGAAGCGCAAGATCATCGAAGGGCTACATAGCAGATTTTATCTGTATATTTACAAAGGCGGTGCACTTGGAGTTAGTGTCCGACCTGTCCAGCACCGCCTTCCTTGCTGCCCTGCGAAGAATATCAGCACGTCGCGGATCCCCGTGTCACCTATATAGTGACTGTGGAACGAACTTTGTTAGCGCCAACCATGCTATGCAGGAGGAGTACGAACAGCTGCGATATAATTTGATAACAATTTCTTGAGCGTGCTGGCTACCATGAACATTGAGTGAGGACTAAGGTGGAATGCATGTGGAAGTTTGTAATCTTACCGGCTCTTTATTACCCTCAAAAACTCAAAATCCATCCATCCAATACTAAAACGGCTAACCACTCGACTTAAATAAAAATCGCGTGTGATTGGGACATCGCAGTGTTTAATTCTAATAATGCCTGATTTTGGGACAAAATCTTCGCCGGTGGATGGTGTTAGTTGTAGTGGTGTTGACATTAGTAGTGGCAGTAATAGTTCACGTAATTGTTGGCAAGTGCTTCCAACTAGGTTATACAGACTATTTGAATTTTGCACGCGGATATTCGCTAATTAACTTTCACATTTTATTTATAATGAATTTCCGGAACGTAACGCCTGATTATATTATATAAAATAACTAGCTTTTCCCTGCGACTTCGCTCGCGTGTTAGGGTTTTTATGTTTTTGCGTCGAACCCTAATTCTTTTTCTAAAATAAAAATAGCCTAAGTTACTCCTCATGAAATCAGCTACCTGCCAGTGAAAGTCCCGCCAAAATAGGTCCTGCCTTTTCGGAGATTAGCCGGAACAAACAAACAGACAGACAGACAGACAAAAATTTTAAAAATTGTGATATACTTTCATATGCAATTAGTAAAAAGCTGTAATTTTGACATTACAAACAGACACTTCAATTTTATTTATTTGTATAGATATTATTAATTGCGATTTTTTATATTAAAGAGCAGCAGTCTACTCTAGGTACCTACTTAACACGCCATTCGATAGACGTGCCTTAAATCTCAAAAAATCTTTCGTCTTCTACGTTTTAATCCGATCAAAGTATACTTAGTGGCTTTTAAGAAATTACCAATCCCTTTATATAGCTTGTGATTACGGTCAACATCATACGTAAATACTAAATATACATTTATGTACATCGCACCCCCTGGGATGGTCATATCGATTTGTCAACGAGTCGAGAGAACGAACGAGCTATGTCTAGGGTACTTGCAATTGAGTTAGTCTCTATTAATTACTTACTGTACGCTGAAATCGCGTTAGATTGTCCAAATTTATTATTATCTATTTTAAGTGCTCGCATGTAATATTATCTTACGTTATAAAATATTAAATACGTGCCTATAGCTGTAAAATTTTACAAAAGTATCTCGGTCTCAGTGCCAATATAAAACTAAGTAAATGAAACGCAATAAAAGCCGTAAAATGTAGTATAATTCAATTTTTATTGTTCGCGTAATCATCAGAAATCAATAAGTGAAATGAAAAGTTATAAATATAAAATTTATTATCCAAAAAAATACTGTTCAAAATGTTTGCCATTAACAAAAAACTTTAATAACGTAATTAGTGTTTTCTCCCTTTACAGGTCAGGACCAAAATTTAATCTTGTAAGCGTAAGCTTAGTGATGTATCATTTTATAGCGTTCATATCGATTTTTTCAACAAGCGCTGTGTTATAACAAATTTAAACCTTAAGTACATTAGCTTTTGACATTGAATTAGTTAAGCCGCCGGCCTTGATGCTATCGGCAACTTCCTCTTAGACGCGGGAAGTGAAACGGCATTTTATGTGATGATTTGCATAAAACACATATCAATAAACTCAATGAGTCTTTATTCTAACATTTCATTAATTTATGTGAAAGCGATATAGTAGAAACAATAACATATACACATTTCTCGATAATGAAGTGGCAGTTATAATTTTTTTTTAAATGCAATGCTATACTAATACTAATATTACCTTTTACCACTCCTGATAAGCTTAAACTGCTTGTGTTTGGAGTGGTTCGCGACAGTAGTCGAATGACGGATTCGAACAAACGACTTTTAGAATTCGCGGCCCGCACCGCACCATTAGGCTACTGTCGCTTAAAATTATAAATAAAAGTAAAGTTACAGTCTATTAACGTTCACGTCCCACAGCTGGGTACATACATCATTTCTGAAAATATTATAAAGCAATTAGTCCGCGCGGCTCCATCTTTCTTATTTTATACTTATTGCCAGAGCGCCTTCGCGGATTTCACATGTCTATGAAATAATATTTTACGCCTCAGATATGCGACATGGTAAAATCAGCACTTAGAATTGTAATTAAATTTCATTAGTGCCGGTGGGATAGAAATAGAACACGGGTTCTCGTGTACTGTGAAATATATGACGAGTGTTTAGCCCTAAACTCGTTTGTCACTTTAGTTTTGTAAATTTTTATACTATTTTTAGTGACAGAATTTACACAATACGGATAGTTTTGACTAAAACAAACAAGAGAAAAAAGTTCGCTTATGAACTCTGACCGTAAAGTTTTTCTACGTTAGACGTTTAAAAATAGAAAACTCGATAGCTAAACGGTTGAATGTTTACATGTGTAAAACGCGGCCCGAGCGGCGGGTGTGCGCCGCCGTCCGTGCTCGTAGGCCGGCTGCAACAACGGTAGCATGGACTTGGGTTAGTTTAGATTTTCGTTTTATTTAAAAAAACCGCATAAACTTTTTTATTTTTTTATTGTTGTCGTAATATAACAATACTTTTCTTAAAATTTTAGAACTAATTCTTTTTATACTTGGAACCTTCATATAATTTTCTTCATCTTCAACTCAACGTCATACTTTTTTAATTACTTTCACTTACAGCATTCTACAAAATAGGCATAAAAGTTGTTATTTATTTATTTTAATTTTATGTTTGCTTACACGGAAATTAAAGTTACATTGCAAAAGTAAAATTAGACTTTACTTTTTAATTTTCTCCCTTCGAGCACGCTCCATATAAAGAAGTAAAATTTTAGAGACACGATCTAGCAGTGTTAACGAATTTTCAGTTCCCCCCAAAATATATAGTTTCAAAATAACACAGCCTCAAATATTTGTAATTTAGATCAAATTAGGCAAGGCTAGGTTTCCAAGATTCGTGTGTGAACTGTCTTAGGGGAAAGGATTAGGGCCCATTGCAGGTAATATGCCTATTCAGGTATGCTGTAATTAGAATGCATAAACCAAAAAGACTTACCTATCTATTCTCAGTACATAGAACAAGCTAAACCGATGCATCACTGGTGGCCTCACACAGATAAATGCTAATGCGATTTGTACTCGTATTAGTCTTTATTCGTCTAGGTTATATCGTCATTTCTCGGTCGCCAGAACATGTTCCGTTATCTAGCAAGGTCCTTCATATACCTACATCAGTTACACAATACTGTCACATAAGAGTTACATCATATTTACGTCCCAATGCTGGGCATAAGCCTCCACGGGGTTTTAGGACAAAGGAAACCAATATTATGAATTAAATATTTTCCGAAAAGTAAGTAGTTCCGAATCTATATTCGACTACTGTAGTGATCCTAATGCAGGTATCCTAAAACTTATTTGTAGTGGTAAATGAATTTATTAGTAATTTTATTAGCGTTACTAGTTTTCTTTAAAAAAAAAAACTGTCTTGATGCGTCGTGCGGTAGCTGCCAATAAGAAGATGCACCACTCCAGTTTGAGTGTCGTATAAACCGACAGGTGGAAGTGAAATAGGAGATGGTCAGCAGCATCTTACTGCTAACAACTCTAAATAATAAAAATATTGTGGGCGCCGACCCGCCTACCAAGCATCGCAATTATGGCAAATTAATATATGCCCCTATGAGACAATATATAGGGAGATTGTAGAGGCTAATAGTGTTAAATGAGGGGTCTATATTCAACAGTGGACTTTTAATAGGCTATAATGATCGAATGATGAAATGAACTGTCGCAATTATGACGGGAATTCCTATTTAAATTAGCCCCGAAAGTTAAAGTGATTGATTAGTCAATTATTTACGTGTTGTAAAACGCATTTTCCAAGGCAGTTAACAAGCGTGCTGCATGCATTGCCCAAATGTCTTCCGACGTAACAAATAAATAAATAATCATTTAAAGGAAATTGAAATAAAGTACAGTGAAACTTATCTACTTCTAACTAACAACATTTAATATATGACGAAATTTTCTTTTAATCGATCGGTCGAGCATTAATTTTCTTTTAATATGCTTACCTGATTTTAAATAAGACGTCTAGACTATTATGTATTTTTTATTGAATGAACACGACAAACGATCACATATTTCACCTGACGGTAAGTGGTTGCTATAGCTCATATAAGTACGTTTTCATCTATCATCAATTAAGTAAGTATTAAAATGTAGATAATGAGCCTCGTTACCATCGATCACTAATAAAAAAAACTAGATACACAATCTAATGTAAAAGTTCTCTAAAAACTGTCGCCAATTGTTTTGACGTGATTCTAGTTGAAATAAATATACATTAATGTAAATTCAACCTTAAATGCATTGTCTAAAGTTGTATTCACAAAGCAAAACGTACAAATTAAAAGCGCACCAAAATGTTCGAGTGGGCGCTCATTCGGTAAGGACATTTTTCTCACTGACTGTGTATCTAGTTTTTTATCGGTGATCGAAGCTCGTTACGAACAAAAAGGGTTCTCTCCACTTAGCATACAAAACACAGCAGCATTATTCTGATGTTTCACGCTGGTATTCTGTGAGATCGATGTGCCACCCCGGTTGAGCCGATCCATTCGTGCTGCAGCTGTGTATAGCTAGCATAGCTGCGACATGGCTCTACCACGCAAAATTATAAGTATTTTGTAACGATTTACATTATAAGTCGTTTGTATTTTTTTTCAGGTATCCAACATGCAATCGGCGGCCTTGCTTCGAAACCGGAGCGTGATCTACTCATGCAGGACTTCATGACGGTGGAGACGACCAACTTTCCACACGAAGGCTCCAACCACACGCCAGCGCACCACTACTCCGAGTTTAAGTTCAAGACCTACGCGCCTATCGCCTTCCGATACTTCAGAGACTTGTTTGGGATTCAGCCTGACGACTTTTTGGTAAGATTGAAATATAAATGTTTTTTTTTAAATTACGTGACGATAGTCTAATGATTAACCAGGGTCGAGTAATTAAATTTAGTATTTACCAATTTTTTATAATAAATAGTTCATATTACATTGATACGTTTTTGCATAATGGCGGCGTTAGGCTCCCCGCGCACCAGGCAGCCTGGCTGTAAACATCCAATGGACGGCCAGTTGTGACCCTTTATTCGAGGGATATGGACGTGGAAGGACTTGTAATTTTGTGCGTATTTCGGAAAAGACGCAAAGCTAAAAGACATTGAATTCATCCTCTTTTTCTAGAACGGCACTCAAAAGGCTTATTTCATACCTATTTCAAAGATATTCGTAAATACACAGACCGGTTTTTTAACTACACGAGAAACTCAGTGCAATCATTTGATAATCTTTTGAAAAATATAAGAATTTAAATCAAGGGCACTGATACTCATATAGATATATCCCATATTACTTTCATCATTCATCATTACAGCCTTTCATAAGTCCACTGCTGAACATAGGCCTCCCTCAAGGAATGCCACAAAGCACGGTCCTGAGCCACCTGCATCCATCGACTTCCTGCATGTCTTACCAGGTCGTCACTCCTTCTCGTGGGGGGTAGCCCTACACTTCGCCTATCGGTACGAGGCTGCAACTCAAGAACCTTTCTTCCCCATCGGTTGTCGGTTCTTCGAGCTATATGGCCGGCCCACTGCCCCTTCAGCTTACTAATCCGTTGGGCTATGTCGGTCACTCTGGTTCTACTGCGGATATCCTCATTTCTAAGTTTATCACGCAGAGAAACTCCGAGCATAGCCCTCTCCATAGCTCGCTGAGCGATCTTGAGCTTCCTCATACGGCCAGCAGTGAAGGACCACGTCTCAGATCTGTAAGTCTTCACTGGCAAGTGGCAACACGCACTGGTTGTACAATTTCGTTTTAAGGTTTTGAGGAATGTCTGACGAGAAGATGTGTCGTAGTTTCCCGAACGCTGCCCAGCCGAGTTGAATCCGTCGATTGACTTCTCGGTCGAAGTTGGACTTACCTAGTCGGACTATTTTTCCCAGGTAAACATACTCGTCAACAACTTCGAGCTTAGTGCTTCCAACAACTACCGGCATAGGTGTGACTAGGACATTGAACATGATCTTTGTTTTGTCCGTGTTCATCTTAAGACCTATCCGTTGTGAGACACTATTGAGGTCATTGAGCATGGTGCTTAGATCCTCCAGTGATTCTGCCATAAGGACTTTATCGTCGGCAGATCGAAGGTGAGTGATGTACTCGCCATTAATGTTAATACCGTATCCTTTCCAGTCCAGAAGCTTGAAAACGTCTTCCAATGCAGCGGTGAAGAGTTTCGGGGATATAACGTCACCCTGTCTTACACCTCTTTGCAATTGGATAGGTTTCGTATTCTGGTTCTGTACTCGGATAGCCATCGTAGCCCTACTGTACAAGCACTTCAGCACTTCGATATACCGACAGTCAACTTGGCATCGCTGAAGGGACTGCAGCACCGCCCAAATTTCGATGGCATCAAAGGCTTTCTCATAGTCCACATACGCCAGGCATAGTGGCAAATTATACTCCTTGGACTTCTGTACAACTTGCCGAAGGGTGGTCTATGGTACAAAAGCCCTTTCGGAAACCGGCTTGTTCGGGAGGCTGGAAGTCGTCAAGTCTACGCGCGAGACGATTCGTAATGACTCTCGAAAACAGCACGTAGACGCGGCTCAGAAGGGAAATCGGTCTGTAGTTCTTCAAGAGAGCGTTGTCACCTTTCTTGAAGAACAAGACCACCGCACTTCAGCTCCACGCCTCCGGTGTAATGCCACCATGGAAGACGGAATTAAAGAGCCTCTGAAGGATTTCAAGTACCGGTTTTCCACCCGCTTTCAGAAGCTCCGCTGTAATTCCATCCTCGCCTGGGGCCTTGTCGTTTTAAGATGCTCGAGAGCCATTCTAATCTCGCTCAGACTGACGTCCGGGATATCTTCGGAATAGTGTCGGATAAGACTCGCTCTTGGATCGTTACTCACACTTGCGTGTGGCTCCAACGATGACGTGTACAGCTGCCCATAGAACCTCTCAATCTCACTCAAAATCTCAGGTGCCCCGGAAACGATGCTGCCACACTCGTTCCTCAGCTTTGACAGTTGGCTCTTTCTGGCAGACAGATCTCTGGCAAAGACTTTGGAGCCTTGGTTCCGCTCGATCGCTTCTTCAATACGAGCTGTATTGAAGTTGCGTAAGTCCCGCCGCATGCATTTGGAGATCTGTCTGTTCAGTTGCCTGTATGCTGTCAAATCTGTTGAAGAATGTAGCTTCATCTCCCGTCTAACAGCCATGAGATTAAGAGTGTGATCGGAGAGTTTTTGTGTTCTTCTGCGGCGGGTCTTGCAGAACTTAGCTCTTAGCTAAATTTCTCCGTATCGAAAGTCATTTTGTGGTTTCGGTATACAAAACACCCCTGGCTGCTACGACAAGTACGCGGTGACTGACGGCAGCCACATACATTTACCCTACTGGCTCTGGCTGTGCGTAGCCAACGGGCTGCCGTGCAATCGGGTGCGCTTTTATGGCTGCTGCAGCCGGGAGTTCGTGGCTGCTTAGGTGCGCAGGCTCTCATACACCGTCATATGTTCGACTGGCTGCCGCAGCCGGGCTGCCTAGTGCGCCGGGGCCTTATTCATCCCGTGGGTGTCATAAAAAATGACAATATGAAATCTAACTATACGAATAAATAAATTTAAGTGTCTGTTAGTAATGTCTTAATAACAGTTTTTAAATAAACGCATATGAAATATAATACGTTACTTAAAACAAAAAAAAAACAATTTTCAAAATTTTTGTCTGTCTTTCTGTCTGTCTGTCTGTCTGTGTTTGTTCCGGCTAATCATCGAAATGGCTGGACTGTTTTTGACTGGATTTTCACTGTCAGATAGCTGATGTTATAAGGGGTAACTTAGGCTACTTTTATTTTGGAAAAAGGATTAGGGTTCCGCGCAAAAAAATTAAAACCCATAAAATCCAATCGTAATAAATATCGCGGGTAAAGTCGCGGGGAACAGCTAGTACTAAATAAAACTCATGTTTTCCGACGGATGGTAGAATATCTATAATATAAAAATGAATCGCTGAATATGTTGCTAATCTAATCTCGAGAGCAGCTGAACCGATTTCGCTAATTCTTTTTTATAATATTCCTTGAATTACGAAGATGGTTCTTACGGAGAGAAAAATTTAAAAAATGTCTGAAAAAGTCTAAAAATAACACTTTTCTATATTCCCATACAAAAGATTCGTGATAATACTTAAAAGTCAGTTTGAACTTTAATACCATACCATAAAGTTTAGTGTTAGTGGATGGGTTCTGGAAAGGCAAAACAATTGAGTGACGTTAGTATCGTATAAATATTAATGTCAATATTTGTTAATATTTATATGATACATTATTCATGTGTTGTTAATATTTGTATGAAACATTACTCAATAACAAAATTAGGGTTCCGCGCAGAAAATAAAATTGATATCCATGAAATCTTAGTAAATTCCACGCAGGCGAAGTCGCAGGGCACGGCTAGTATGTAATATAATCATCTTATTTAAGCCAGAATTAAAACGCCCAGACAGGCCATGGGTAACTGGGATTGCTAATCCTTTTAACAATGAAAGAGGCCCAGAGCTGTGAACTTTTACGGGCTGTTAAAGAATAGTAATTTTATTTCATTCGTGGCCACTTTGAACGCGATCGTTGAAACATCAAATGTTTGAAGTTGGCAAATTCTACTTTTTCTTCTGGACAAGGCGTGACCGTTGATTGACGTGATGTAAACAACATCCGGTCATGTGCTTCTTTTGCATGACATGTGTACGGTTCGTTAATTTGTCGCTTTAAAGATGCTGAACTAGTTTAGATGGTTTAAAACTTCAAAAGTTTGGTCTTTTTAAATGTGAAGAATGATATGGCATTCTCCTTTTTGGTGTATTTCACTTAGCCCATAGTAACAGATAAATATAATAATTATATATTATAGAATATATACGTGGTAGAGCCGTGCTGCAGCTATATTAATAGTGTAGTTGTAGCACGAATGGGTCGGCTCGACCGGGAGGACCACGCTCTCACAGAATACCAGCGTAAAATAGCAGCTTCATGCTGCTGTGTTTCCTATGGTGAGTGTAGAGAATCGGAGACACTTTTTACTAGAAAAGAGGCATTCATTATAATCCAGTGCTAGATTTACAATCCCACCTGATGGTAAGTGGTGATGCAGCCGAAGATGGTGTAGCGCACTGACTATATCTATATCACTATATTATTATTGTATTGCTTATTGTTATAACATATTATCTTAAAAGTTACAGAGCATTATTGTTTTATTAGTCATAGTTCTCAGAAAGTTCGTTATTATTAAACTGATACCAGTAACACAATGTATGTTTAATGGTGATTCACGTATTATTTTTTATTAATCTTGTATTTGATTTATTTAACAGGTATGTTTTATATGTTTAATAATATATTATAAGGGAATGTAAAGGAGGCGAGTGAGGTGTGTCAGAATCGTGCCAAAAACATTAATCAATGGCCAAAAGGAAGTCCGTAATCTCTACCTACCCCTCTAGGTTTTTTTATACGTTAGGGTGACAAAGGAGCACATTTCCACCTTACCATAGTAAGTGGTTTCTGTGACCCATAGACATCTACATACATCCTTAATAAAGAATCAATATGTAGATGCGCTGTCACGTGTGAGGACTAAGATGGAATGCTTTGTTTTCAATAAAAGTTGTCTCCGATAAAACGGTTTTTCAGCTTACGACACCCAAAGGATGAAATAGGATGATGAATTATTTTACGCCGTCACCACACGGTGTATTTTAGCTTTATAGTTATAACTAGCTGATACTCGCGACTTTGTCCGCTTTGCTTGATATATTAACAAAGGTTTCGTATGTACGAGGGTAAAAACATCAAAAAGACAAAATTCCTTAGTTAACAATGTTATTCGTTGCTCCGTTTGTAGCTAAAGTATATAAATTATCTGGGTTAGTAAAGCAAGCGACGTACAGTCGACCGTGTGAAAAACCCTGAATAAAAATCGTTGTTTCTCAAAACTTTAATATCTTTATGTTAAACGAAGATATCGCAATACTTTTTTTTTCGGAAAGGATCAAGTTTTTAACAAATAAAACCTAATTGAAATCTATCTATTAGTTTTTCCGAGATGGGCGCACTACTGCCAACCTCTATAATTTTATTTATATAGATATACTCTAATTTATCATCATAATTATGATGATGATACCATATCTATGTAGGTATATTATATACTAGCTTTTACCCGCAAATTAGTCCTCGTAGAACCAAAGAATATAATAATATACTCACTATGTTTTACGTAGAACTAAACAAAAAAGACCTGCAGATCTTTAATAGTGGTCTGTGGTCAAGTAGTTCAATTATCGAAAAATCACTTTTAACACAGTTTTTTGCTATTATCTTGAGAACTATGTTCAATTTAGGAAAAGTTTCAAAGTTTAAGATCTATTCATTTTGTTCTTGTTGGACCTTCTCTGTAGAGGTCTCGATTTTAGAAACGGTGGTAGATTTTATCGTTCATGTTTAACTGTATAAAATATTGTTAACTTTGAATGATGAAAATAGGCACACCTGGTATATGACATCCAGGCATACAATACAAACGTCACAGAAATAAGACTGAGACTTAATTCAAGCCATGAATTATAATGTATCAAAAACTTTTGATATTTTATAATTATATACCAACGTGTCGTTTCCAGATGTCAATGTGTAGCGCCCCGTTACGAGAACTGAGCAATCCCGGCGCATCCGGAAGCATCTTCTACCTGACAAACGATGATGAGTTCATCATTAAGACCGTCCAGCACAAAGAGGGGGAGTTTTTGCAGAAGTTATTGCCCGGATACTACTTGAACCTCGATCAGGTAAGTTTTATTCTATATAATCGTTAAATTTGTTACAGCTTTATTTATTTTTTATTTCTCGGACATGCAGATTTGCTCGGGATGTTTTCCTTTTCAACACCGTGTAGAGTAAATTAGCATTTAAAATTTCGGTTAACGAACTGTGTTTGCTCTCTTAGTATGAGTTTTAAGGCGAGCGCTTATATTCTGATGAACTATCACGGCGCAAAAATATTTCAAGTACGTACTGTAACGTCCACTAGTTGTGGTGGTTGTTGCACAGGGAATCCAAGTATTGTCACCAGTCTCTTCAACTAGCATTTGTAAGTAACTAAAGTATTTAGATGTAATGATGTTTAAAATGTAATTTTGTAGAGAAAAATAAAGGTTATTATTGTTATTAACACGCTTGAGATGCTTTAATTCTCATGGGGTAATGCCTAAATAATACACACCCGTCTCGCTGGGGCAAGGACGGGCTACATCGGCCTTGCACTGACTAAAATCCCAACTGTGCATAGCATGCACTTACCCATTCTTTTAATTCACTTATCATTTTCATTTAATATTCAGTGATATATACAGTGGATTTCATTTATTACGACCTTGTTTGTAGCGACTATTTACCTATAGCGACGTTAAATCTAAGTCCCTTGAATTTAAAGCATATTTTAGTACAAAATTCATGTGGCTATAGCGACTTTGGATGTAACGCATAGTTCGGGTGTAGCGACTGTTTTTAATGAATCATTTGTAACGAATTCCTAGAAATCCCATGGCAGATATTTCGACCGGAGTCGGCCGCCAAAAACACAAAGATTTCTTATCTTTTGTTTACATCCATACAGATGGTCAGCAAGTGTGGAGACCTTTACTTTTTTTTATAGATATCAACTAAGTAGGTAGGGAAGCGTGTACGTTTCGGAGTTAAGTTTATGGTTCAGTTATAAAGTGATATTCTGAGTAGCAACTGTAATGTATTAAATTTGTTACCTTTGCCTGTAACGACTTGGAGAGTGGTCCCTTCATCGTCGTAATACCTAAAATCCACTGTATATATTTATGTAAACTTTAATTTGCAATGCTTAGCAAATGATGTATGAGCATTTCAAAAAGCACTTACGGGCATTTGTATGACGTCAAGACTGCTGCAGTAAGGTCACAATGCATTAAAGGTGATTAATGCATATTAATGGTATAAGTATTGCAGATATTTTTAGTGCAGACGATGCTGAAGATGCACAGCCAATAATAACCCATAATGATGCGTCTGATTCTGTCATATCATAATCATTGATAAATTGGTTTCGGCGATCTGGTGAATGGCTATTAAAATGAGTAATCTATATGCAAAGAGCATACATATAAATAAAATTAATGTGTCTGTCTGTAATATCGAAATATCCGGCTTCTATTAAACTAAAGAGCTTATTTGCATACTATTAAGACGTGAATAACGTTTTTTTTTGTTTGTCTGTCTAGGCTATGCTTCCAAATGTCTGAACTTTTTTTTTAGGATAGGATAGGGTGACAAGCACACAGTCCACCTGATGGTAAGTGTTTATTGAGGCCCATAGACATCTACATCTATCCTCGTTTGCGAATCAAAATGCAGATGCGTTGTCACCCGTGAGGACTAAGATCGAATGCCTCTTATTGGGATAAAAGGTTACGCACTGATAGGGAGCAATGCCAGAAGTGATGTAGGCTAACTTTTATCTATAAATGATTTGTGATGATTATCTCAAAAATTTATAAATCGTTTGGAACAAAACTTTGGTATGCGATTTTACATAAAAAGGTCTTTACTTTTTATCTATCCTCTATCTCTTAACACCATTTCATAACACAACTATAGGTTAAAAAAGTTAAAGTATATGATGATAAAACGTTTTATACGTGAAATAATAGATTATGAATTTATATTTAAAATATTTTCCGACATATGTAAAAAAACCTGAATTAACAGTATCCCTGTCTGAGAAACAGACACAATAGTTAAACAATTGAAATGTATTATATGATTCATGGGACAGATAAAGGGTTAAAAGTGGTTTTTTAATAGTTGAACTACTTGCATAAAGGTCACTATTTATAAATCTGTAAGTTTTTATTGCTTGTTTACGTTTTACGCGGACTAAGTTGCAAGTATAAGTTGTTAAGTACCTAGGTAGTAGCGTACATACGAGTACGTTACATACGAGTACGTTGAAACGTACTCGTATGTACGCTGCTGTACAGCTAAGCCGCTATTTCGGAGATTGAAAGTTCGGTTGTAAATCATTCGATCTGAATTGCCGACTCATTACTACTTGAGTCTACTGATCCGTTGCGTTACGTTAGTTAACTTTATATATATATATATATATATATATATATATATATATATATATATATATATATATATATATATATATATATATATATATATATATAAAATACTTTATATGTATATTCCTTTTATTTACAGAACCCCCGCACGCTCCTACCGAAATTCTTTGGCCTTTATTGTTATCAATGCAACAGCAAGAACGTGCGGCTGGTGGCCATGAACAATCTACTGCCTTCCTCTGTGAAGCTGCATCAGAAGTACGATCTCAAGGGCTCCACATATAAGAGGAAGGTAATGCTTTTATAATATATTTACTCTTTTACTGGACCTTTAGACTTATATAAAATTTCATTCCAAATATTTTAATAATTTGCCAAATACAAGATTAAAAAAAAATATGGTTTTTTTTTTATAGGATTAGGGCGACAAACGAGCACACAGTCCACCCGATGGCAAGCGGCTGCTGCGGCCCATAGATATCTACATCTATCCTCTGTTACAAATCAAAATGTAGATGCGTTGTCACCCGTGAGGACTAAGATAGAATGCCTCATTTCCAGTAAAAAGGGCCTCCGGCCACCCGCACTCACCAAGCGAAACGCAGAGGTAAACCTCTACTTCACGCTGGTTTTCCGTGAGGTCGTGGTACCATCCCGGTTCGAGCCGGCCCATCCGTGCGACAGCAAAAGCTGCCGCATGGCTCTACCACTGTTAAAAATGTTATGTTTACTGTTTTCATTTGATATTAAATGAGATTAAAAGACATTTCATAAATGAATATCATTTAATCTACCGTTTAGTATCAATATAAGAATATACACTATCCCATATTGTCTCATGGGTGTCGTACGAGGTGACATAGGATAACAGAACAGGAGATGGGCAGCAGCGTCTAAAAATAACTAATAAAACCTGTGGAGGCCAACCTGCCTACAAAGCGTGGCAACTATGGCAAATATCCCCATATAAATGTTCTCCTTTGACAGAAAAAAGACTACTATCTCACTTGACAGAAAAGTATACTGACTTAGCTTAACATACGCTGATTCATGCTTGCCTTGAACATTGAAGACACACACATTATAGTGACAGAGTGATTAGAAAGACAGATGCTGCCAAATTATTTCATACCCTTGGTATACGCATGACGAACGACGAAGCATATTGTTTCTGTTCGAATGCGTGGACAATGAGTGGGTGAGGACTGGCCAAGCGTCTGGTTGTCCTATCGTAGAAGGGGAGATATTAAGTTGTGTATTTCCTGTGCACACTCTTTGAAATGACTTAGAACACCGAAGGTGGACTTTATTTATTTATTCTTTATTGTAACACCTTACAACTAAGGTGACAATGGGCGGACTTAATGCCTGTCGACATTCTCTGCAAGACAACCCGTAGTGTAGTGAGCTATTGTGGCAGGTGTACACTTACTTACTACAAACTTAATACACTTAATCATCATCATCATTATTACAGCCCTTCACAAGTCCACTGCTGAACATATGCCTTTACCAAGGAATATCACAAAGCACGGTCCCGAGCCACCTGCATCCATCGACTTCCTGCATGTCTTACCAGGTCGTCACTCCATCTAGTGGGGGGTCGTCCTACACTTCGCCTACCGGTACGAGGCTGCCACTCGAGAACCTTTCTTCCCCAACGGTTGTCGGTTCTTCGATCTATATGGCCGGCCCATTGCCACTTCAGCTTACTAATCCGTTGGGCTTTGTCGGTCACTCTGGTTCTACTGCGGATATCCTTATTTCTAAGTTAATCACGCAGAGAAACCCCGAGCATAGCCCTCTTCATAGCTCGCTGAGCGACCTTGAGCTTCCTCATACGGCCGGCAGTGAAGGACTACGTCTCAGTTCAATTAGCAACACGCACTTGTTGTACAATTTAGTTCTCAAGTTTTGAAGTATACCTGATGAGAAAATGTGTCGTAATTTCCCGAACGTTGCAAAGCCAAGTTGAATGCGTCGATTGACTTCTCGATGAAATTGGACTTATTTAGTCGGACTATTTGTCCCAGGTAAACATACTCGTCAACAACTTCGAGCTTAGTGCTCCCAACAACTATCGGCATAGATGTGACATGGATGTTATACATTATCTTTGTTTTGTCCATGTTCATCTTAAGAGCTATCCGTTGGGAGACACTATTGAGGTCATTGAGCATAGTGCTTAGGTCCTCCAGCGATTCTGTCATAAGAACTATATCGAAGGTGAGTGATGTCCTCGCCCTTGATGTTAATACTGTATGCTTTCACAGTGCAGTAGCTTGAAAACGTCTTCCAATGCACCGGTGAAGATTTTCGGGGATATAACGTCACCCTGTCTTACACCTCGGTGCAGTTGGATAGGTTTCTTACTCTGGTTCTGTACTCGGATAGCCATTGTAGCACTACTGTACAAACACTTCAGTACTTCGATATACCGACAGTCAACTTGGCACCACTGAAGGGACTGCCGCACCGCCCAAATTAAATTTATTTATTATTATGTATTAATTAATACACTTAATACAAACTTTATAAATATAAATACATATATAAACAATTTTACATATACATAGAAACAATATACATAAACATATTATATACATATACCTATTATATGTACACATATATACATACATACTATATTATATACATATATACATACATACTATATTATATATTATACATACAATGTCTTGTTTTAAAACGTGTTCCCGACTTTGGGGCTTGTCCTCGTTACTGGTTATGTTGACTTTAACCATATTTCAGATCACAAATCCCCATGCATCTTAGCACACTTTTCCTCCATTCTGACACTTGTGTGCAAAAGTGCTAAGTGGCATATTGCAGTTTTTAGCTATAATTGCAATTATTGTGAAAGTAATTATTGATCAACTTGAAAACAATGTATTGTTATAAAATAATACTATGGCAATAAATTATAATAAAAAAAAATTAAAAAAGACATTGCTAAAATGGGTTCTTTTTGCAGGCAAGCAAAACGGAGCGACAAAAGAGTTCACCTACATACAAGGACCTAGACTTTATGGAGCACCATCCAGAGGGCATCTTCCTCGAGGCGGATACATATAACGCGCTCATAAAAACAATGCAGCGGGACTGTCGCGTTTTGGAAAGCTTTAAGGTACAATTTTAACTTTATTTTTACGCAATTTTTTTTTCAAGCGCTCAAGGCGAGGTTTAAGCAGGTCTCTGTCTCTCTTGCTACCTGCGTGAAATAATTACCTACAACCGCGAGTTGCCCCCGGGGTAGAACGCAGTCGGGGATAGCGCGTTCTAGGCGATTGAATGTTAAACTTTTTTAACGCTGTTTACGTAAATAATTTTTTGTAAATACTTGTTGAAATACTCGTCGAAATAGTTTTTGTTTAGTGTTTAGTATATTTAATTGTAGGATAAAATAGTTAATAAAGTTTTAATGTAATTTAAGAATAATTTATATTACCTATCTATTTCATAAATTATAGTGGCAAAACGTCGTTCCTACTATAATTGTTGCGGGGATGGATGCTTAATAAGCAAACAAAAGGATTCATATATAACATTTTTTAAGTTAACTGATCCTACAGGGATGAATGAAAGGTGAATTTATTTCATTTTTTTTAGATTGTACTTATAGCGAAAAAAGATATGAGCCAAGCATCGCGATTCCCGACGAATGTCCTTGCAAGTTGTATGCGTTGGGCATCACAGAACTCACATAGTAGCGGAAATATGGTCGATCAATAGTCAGAATAGGTACTTTACATAACTAACTTACCATTTCACGATGTATATTTTTACTCTTTATTAACAGCCCTTAGTAACCACGGAAAGTCCGTTGTGACGTAGGAAGGAGTAAAGATGCAAAGTAATACGGACACTCGCGCGCAGCGATAAAGTTTTATTTAGCTTGCGTGCGCGATTTATCTGATTAATTACGATCAAGATTACGTGATAACAATTATCTACCTACTCGACGCGTAGCGGTACCTAACCCTAAACTACACTCCCGCTTGCGCAACCTAACGGGCGTGGTTCCTAAATCTCCCCACCTATCCGCTAACAAACAAAGGAAGCAAACAACAAAAGAAAATATTTTTATTATTACGTATTACGGCCGGGCGTGATTGTAGAAACAATCAACCACGCTCTGCTACCAAAAATTGTTCACGCCCTGAGTTGCCCCGACAAAGGTTGACTGCACTAGGGCCTATGAGTAATCCCATCGACGGGCAACAGAGGAGTGCAACTTCTATATATAGTATTATTATTTATTCTGTGTTTTAAGGATAAAGGGGAACAGAAGGAATGACTGACTAGATCTTCTTAGTACATATTATTTATCATATTGTTTAACTACCTCTTATATAGAATAAGGGGTGGTAGCTAAGGCCTGTGATGTGAGGTCTTGTACCAGGACAGTAGAATTTGACGGACTGCGACTTTTAAATGTTGACCATAAAATAACAATCTTTTTTGAATTATAGTTACCATTTCCAAAAGTATTTCTCAGTATCTATTTATTTAATATGTGAAGGGAAAATTTTATACTCTTTTTAAACATAATGCGCGCACAGACGAGAGTTAAAGTTTATAGATAGTAGTATTAGAAGTGCAGAAAGGTAAATATAATATAATAAGTGTTCTAAATACATTTCATTAAATTAAATAAAACACACCTTGTTCACATTTATACTGCCAATGTCAAAAACATTACTGTCGCTTAAAAAAATTATGTCCTCTGAAACATAGGCAGTATTAATGTTAATACTGCCAATGTTTCAGAGAAAGTACAAGCATATATGTATGCTATTACTCTAAAGCACACACACACACAAACACTCACGCCTGTCACCCAGAGGGGTAGGCAGACACTACGGACTTCCATTTGGTGCGATCCAGACACACCTCTCTCGCCTCCTTTACATCCATATATCTACGCATACACGCTCGTCGATTAAGGGTACTCCTAATTTGGCCCATTTTTAATGTATCGCCGATTTGGTCGATAGGATTATATATACCTTCGTCTAGGGTGTCCCTTCCTAACCTGCCGTTCACTTCTGCAAAATAAATTTGCATTGTCACTCTTTCCTCGTTCATACTTTCTACATGACCAAACCACCGAAGCATTCCTTTCTTAATCCTTGTCACAACGTCATCTTGCACACCACACTTTTTTCTTATCACTCTATTTCTCACCCTCTCATTCCGATTCAGCCCAAGCATACTCCTTAAGGAACGCATTTCTACAGCATTTATTCTACTCTCATGCTTCTTCTGCCAGACCCAACTTTCACTACCATACATTAAAGTAGGGACTAACACAGCATTATGAATTGCCATACGTGTCTTATTTGACACATTCTGACTCCTCATAATAGCGTGTAGAGATTCACTCTATTTCCTGCGTTCACTCGTCGTTCTATATCCTTATCATATCTACCATCCCTGCTAAATAAACATCCCAAATATACAAACTCATCCACTTGCTCAATCAACTCCCCTTCTATTCTTATTTCACATAACGTTTTACATTCTTCTCTTTCAAAACCATAACTTTCGTCTTACTTGCGTTCACTTTCATACCCCTTTCTTTCAATGACCAGTTCATTAAAGTAACCATCATTTGCAACTCGGCCGCCGACGATGCAAATATGACTTGATCATCGGCGTACAAACGGCATTTGTCGGTTAACTCACCCATTCTCAACCCACATTCTTCAACTTTCAAAGTTTGCAAACAACTGTTCATAAATAGGTTAAACAGACACGGGGAAGCCACACATCCCTGTCTGACACCTTTATGAATTCCAAACCTGTCCGCGTAGACCCCGTTGATCCTGACACAAGCAGTCTCTATAAAGAAACCTTAATGCCTGTATCAAGCCAGCGCTCAACCCAAATGAGTTCAGTGTTTGCCATAACACATTCCTGTCCACTCTGTCATAAGCCTTTTCCAAGTCCATGAATGCACAAAAAACTTTCTCTTCTCCGCAATCATGCGCATGGAAAAGACTTGATCTGTACACCCATCCCCTTTCTAAATCCAGCTTGCACATCTCAAATTTTTCCATCAGTTTCTTCCATAACTCTTTCAATTAACACCTTAGCATACAGTTTACCCACAATGCTAAGCAAGCTGATACCACGGTAGTCTTTACAGTCCTGCTGCGAGCCCTTTCCCTTATATATTGGGACTATAACGGCTTTGCACCAGTCTTCCGGTACCCGCTTCAGTTCCCAACTTAAATTAAACAAGGTGCACAGTAGGCCTACAACCACACCCTCTCCAGCCTTTAGCATTTCGAGTGAGATTCTATCATATCCGGCTGCCTTACCTGCTTTCATACTTTTCATTGCTTTCATTATTTCATCTACACTTATCTCCCCAACTCTCTCCACTTCTTCCGGAATTTCTATTTCATTTACTTCAGACGACTCTTCACTCTTAAACACGCTTTCAAAGTATTCCTTCCATCTCTTTAAATTCGAAACCTCATCATTCAGCATGCAGCCATTCTCGTCTGTTTTGAATTTCCCCTGGCAGTTCTTACGAGCTTTCAGAACATTTTAATATTTTCCTGGAAGTTATTAGATATCCTTCTATCATTCTTATCTATCCTTTCTTGCTTTTTCCTTTCAACAACTTCTTTTACTCTCTTATTTATACGTCTAAAATCTGCCTTTTTTCTTTCAATCTCATCATTCATACCGCCAGAATTACCAGCTTTGGTTGCTAATAAATCTAGCCATGCTCTCTTCTTTGCTTCAACTTCCATCCGTACCTCATCATCCTACCACAACGTATTACTTTTCCTTTCATTCTTTCTCTTACTTACACCACAAACTTCGGTGGCTGCATCCACTAAAACTTTCTTAATATTATTCCATACATTCTTCAAGTCTAAATCATTCATACATAATTCATTCAACCCTCTTATATTTTCCCTCAGTCTGCATTTATACTTCCCTTTCACACCTTCATCTTGTAACCTCTCTATTCTTACTCGCTGTAACGCAGTGGTAGACGTAGATGTCCGATGCCGCCAACGCTTGAATAGACCATTAATTCGGCATAAGACCAAGTAATGATCCGTCCCTACGTTGGACCCCCGGTAAACCCTTGTATCCACCACTGCTTTCTTTCATCCACAATTATGAAATCTATCATGCTTCTATCATTCCCTCTTTCCCATGTATACATGTGAATCCTCTTATGGCGAAAGAAAGTGTTCGCCACAAAAAGATTCTTCTCCACACATACGGTGAGGAGGTCTTCACCATTCTCATTTATTCTTTCATCGCCAAACGTTCCTAATGTCCTTTCATAACCAGACCTCTTCACCCCAACCCTTCCATTAAAATCTACTAACATAATCATATTTTTATTTTCCTTACATTTCATCTACACCAGCCTTACCATGTCCCAAATCTGCTCTCGAATATAAGTGGGCTTAGACATAACTGGGGCGTACACCCCCAGTACAAACAACTTCTTTAAGCCCACTTTCATTCGTATCCACAACAGCCTTGGGCTTACACATTCATACTTTTACAAATATTGACCCATTCTTTCTGAAAGAATGACACCGACTCCCTGGCATGCCCGCTCGGTCTCGTCTACACCAGACCGGTAAGCGGTATACATGCCATGTGCAGTGACATCTCTTCCCTTTCGTTTCGTCTCGTTTACTTATAACACATCTATTTCTCTATCATTCATCATTTCGCATACTTCATTCATCTTATCATTCATTGCTCCACATACATTCAGCGTAGTCAGACGGGCCTCCGCAATCCACTTTTCGCCCCTCCGGGAGACAGGAAGTGACGGGTGGCGAACCTCGTCACCGGTTTTTCTTCCGGAGATTCTTCGCACCCCTGCCCCATTAAAGGGGCGCCGGGAACTCGGGGCCATTTATTTTATTTCTTGGCTCATGGTGCGTACTAAGGGGTGGAGATTTTACGCCGCTACCATACGGCGAGGAGCCAAGTCTATCCTATCGGCTTTGTCGCTCGTTCAGCACCACTCTGCTACTCTCACCACCACCACCCTGTTACTCTAAAGCCTGCGCCAGATACAGCTTTAAACATTTGAACACTTGTTTAAAGCTATGTGTGACACGGCACTATGAATCAATATTCAAATAAGTGCTCAAAGAAATGTACTTTGCCAAGCGGTGTCGGTTTTTAAGAGCATTGATGATCGCAAAAGAATCTCAAAATTTTGCCAACAAATAATTACTGACGGATCAACTGAATTATGCGTGATTTCAAATATTCCTTTTTTAATAGTATATGTCAAGGCAATAAAGCGGTTAATTTGTATTTTGTTTATTAGATATCTGTGTTATATATATATATTAAAGTACAATTGAACGTGAAATAAAAATATAAATATAAAGGAAGCTGTGCTTAATATACAATCCTAAAAATTTTAAGAATTACGGTTGTATTTCGACACCTAGTATTATTAAATAAGGTACCCACTTATGTAATATTCAAATATTCTTCTGAATGCATGTGATAGGCTATCAGGAAAGAATGAATGAAATAATTGAAATGAATTTACAGATTATGGACTACTCCCTTCTCGTCGGCATCCACAATTTAGATGAGGGACAAAGAGAGAAGACAGAAGCAAAAAATCGCGCAGACGCGGGTCAGAGTGACGGAGAAGAAGAGGGAGAACCCAAAAAGAGTGGTCTCAATAGAACTAGGTGAGTACAGGGTTTGTAAAATTAAATATTTATTTTGATATTTGAAGATATTTTTTATATATCATTACAACCTATGAAAGTCCACTGCACCATAGATTGCCTCAGGAGACACTTTTGCCGTAGTTGTCACGCTAGGCAGGCTGGCTGGCAACCGCATTTTTGATTCTTTATTATCTTACGTACATTATTTGCTATCAGGAAGATGCTGCTGCCCATCTCCTAATTCATTACGCTCTGCCGCTGCTTACGAAACCCACGGGGATGATGTGGGGTTTGAATTTGGGTGTAGTTAATGAACTGCACCCAAATTCTATCATTATTTACATTAGTTGATTAGTTCATATTTTGATATTTAAAGATAGCTTTAAGGTAAATTATATGAGAAATAAAGTGCTAGTTATGGAAATCATACAGTTTAAAAAAGACTTTCAGATATAGCCTAACCTTTAGTAAGTAATTACATTCTTAGTCTTAGCTGTGGTGACGGTTTGCTTTTGAACAAATTTCAGATCTGAACAAGTCAAGGAGGATTTCGGGATGCAAGTGAAAAGGACGCAGTACGATATCTATCTCTGTTATCTGTGTTTAACTTTAATGTTCTACTAATCATTCTATGACTGATGTGAAGGTCATTCACACGATTTTAGTCCTTGATGACATTATCTTAAGATGTAGACTATTTCTAGAACGTTCTCTAACAATTATTGTTGTATTTAAATCTAATTTCTAACCTTGGCGTTTTGCATGCATATTGATATGTTTTAAAGCACGTCCCTTCTATTGTAGGCATGAACTTGTAATATGTAACTAAAAAAAAAGAATCTGTTACAGTAATATTAACATATACATACGTTTATTTCTATGAGCTTCAACTAAGTGTCTTTACGAGTGTAGATTATCATAAAATTTTGCCCATGACATGTCAAGAAACAGTTCCAAATTGGGGAAAACACGCAATTTTAATAAATGTTTATATTGTAGCTTGAAGTTGTGTGTTAGCTTCTTAATCTGTTAACTTGTTTTAAAAAATTATTTATTTTTTCAATAATATTCTTGAAATAAACAGACAGTAAACAGTTATAAATTTGTAACAAAAATTGAGTAATAAAAAATAGGTTGGTATTTTTATCTGCGCATTTTTTTCAATCTGTTTACTTTAAATATTTTTACATTCTCTTTTCTAAAGGAAACTTACATGATCACTTTCGATATTTATATAATTAGAAACATATATTTTTTTACATTGCAGGTCCATAAACCGACAGCGGTTGGTAGCGCATTCGACGGCGATGGAAAGCATTCAAGCCGAGAGTGAACCCATCGATGAAGAGGAAGACGTTCCGTGAGTCTACTCAGATATTGTCATCTTTATCGATGTTCTTTAATTTTTAAATATTTCCCCTCTTATATATAAAAAAGGACATTATTCAACCAGGAGCACATAATCACTTTGGGTAACGTTGCAGGCCGGGCGGTATTCCGGCTAGGAACGCGCGCGGCGAACGGCTTCTCCTGTTCCTCGGTATCATCGACATACTGCAGTCCTACCGGTTGCGAAAAAAGCTCGAGCACACGTGGAAGAGCATGATACACGACGGGGTGAGCAACAACCTGCTTTTTGTTTTGAATGTTATTATTAGAGTGATATAGAAGAACCGTGATGGCCCAAGGGCTCACTACCTGAATACAATCCCCGCAACTGCAATTCGATCGTATTATGCAGAAATGCTTCATCCCACAAAACTAAGTTATATAAAATATAAACAACATTTTTAACTGCAATTGGACCGTATTATGCAGAAGTGCTTCATCCCACAAGAGTAAGTCATTTATATTTGAAAGATAAATGCATTTTTCTTGTGCTATGTGCACAACACGATCCAAATTTATGGCCTAACTTACCATGCGCTGGGTAAAGCAAAACTTTTTGAAGATTGAAGTCCTTCGAAGTGCAAATAGCAGCTTAGCAGACTTAACTGCTCTAAAACCCTTACAGAAATTACGCTCAGTTATAGGATCTATTTAAGCCGTAACTTGTAAGTTTTTATTGGAGTGATCAACGCGCGTCAACGATAAAGGGCTATTCAATCCATTTTACCAGCAACCCACATCAAATAAAGAAAAATAGCTAAAGCCTATAAAGTCTTACATTACAAATTAGACCTCTTCAACTTCTGAGAGAGTTATGAAGAAGGAATTAGTCGAAAAAGCCGAACATAGGAAAGCAGTATTTATAATACAATTGATAATTTAACATGAAAATTTAATAGTGCCTCCCCTGTACTACGAAACTCCAAGAAAAGCATCCCCTGCTGAAGTTACTACGACTTGAAAACAATGTGATATGTGGTTATTCGACGATTGCCTTGTTTTTCTAGTGGTGTATGGTAAATTCTGATCATGTGGTCCCAGGTACGACCAAAGACAGTTATTGGTTTTTGCTGTCAAAAAATTTTCAATAATTGCTCGGACGGTGACGGTGTTTCGGCCCCGTGGTACGGTAAATACCTAAAGACGTTATTCCAGCGCATGATCTTTCTCCGGTTGTGTCGAATTGCCGTTCCATCAGACTAGGAGAGAGGGAATAAAGTGTGCACCTGTGCTTGCACACACACTCGTGCATTTATAATCTCCTTTGAGAGTGGCTACTGACCGATATTCGGTCGGAAGGACATTATTATTATTATTATGTTTATTTTAAAAGTAAACAACGAAAAATAAATTAATGTTTGTTTCCAGGATACGGTTTCAGTGCACCGACCGAGCTTTTACGCGCAAAGGTTTCTAGACTTTATGGGCAAGACTGTGTTCAAGAAAATACCTTCGTGTGAGTACTATTTCCTGAGTGTTCTTTATTTCACTTTTGTTTTGTCGTTCCATTCTATATATAGATAATTTCAATCAATTCATACACATAAATAAAATTGTAATAGTGTTTACTTGTAACTTTCGAAATTTTGCTCCCAAATTGTTGTTTATGTTATCATGAATCTGATATTAAAAAAGATGTCTGTCTGTCTGTCTGTTTGTAAGTGACTTGTCACAGATATATACCATGCAGGACTGATAGCTGTTAAGTTCTTTTTTCAGTGTATTATCATGAACGGTTCAATAATATTATATTTGCCTTAAACTTTTCAAAGAAGAGAAAAAACAAGTGGTCAAAGTCGTGGGCACCGTTAGTTTTTAAAAGATTACATAATAGAAATGATGTTGCAATTTCAAATATTTCAAATAATGCTAATCACAATATTAATTTTTGTGATTAATAAATTTGAAATAATTTTTGACAAACATTTTACATCTCAAAGAATCAAAATTAATTTTACATCAATTATTATTTTCTTTTTCTTTCAAAACCAAAACTTTAGAATTTACAAAGACTCGATTTCTAATCTTTTTCTTCATTACTTCTCATGAAATTTTCAAACATTAGTTGCTTTTAACCTTAGTATTTTGTATGCATAAAGAATTATGTTTTGTCATATTATCGTACTAACTAATAACGTTTATGTGTGTTTTGTTTCACTAACACTATGTGGAATTATTCACTGGCTAACTAAATGTAAATTGGTATATTGTAATTTTCTATTTTAAGACTCCGCTTTAAAGTATTATTAAATTTAGACATTGTAGATGATTTCAAGATAAGTGTGAGAGAGATTTCTCTTAAGGGAAGACCTGGATAGGGCCAAGTTCCTACATTATAATGCAAGGGTAAAATAACCGCATAATTTTGCTGTATTTTGTACGGTGAGTGTGAACAGGATGCTCTTTTCACTGGTAACAAGGCAATTTATCTTAATCTTTAGGGCTGAAAATTCTGTTTCATAATCGGGGATAGATTGTATGTCTCTGTGCAAAAGAATCCATTTACCATCCGGTGAACTTTTTTTGTTAGACACTCGTATACAATAATACCATTTACTTACCATCAGGTGGACTGTGACTACTATCCCACCTGATAGTAAGAAGATGCTTTGACCCATAGTAATATTCCCGACTTAGGGACCTTCAAGAAAAGAACCTACTCATTTTTAAAAGGCCGGCAACGCACCTGCAATTCCCCTGGTGTTGCAGTTGTTCATGGGCAGCGGTAGTCACTTACCATCAGGTGAGCCGCATGCTCGTTTGCTCCCTGTCCTATAAAAAAAAACCGACATCAATTTTCGGTTAAGAATGAAATGTAAATGCCTTATTATCCCTGAAAACTAAGATGGAATGCCGTATTACCGTAAAAGAGGGTCTCCGATTTTCTACACTCACCATACGAACACAGCAGCATTAAGATGCTATTATTCTGCGGGAGCGTGGTCTTTTCCCGGTTTTGCCAACCTTTTGGCGCTGCAATATAGCGAACTTCGAGCTTAGTGCTCCCAACAACTACCGGCATAGGTGTGACATGGACATTAAACATGATCTTTGTTTTGTCCACGTTTATCTTAAGATCTATCCGTTGGGAAACACTATTGAGGTCATTGAGCATAGTGCTTAGGTCCTCCAGCGATTCTGCCATAAGGACTATATCGTCGGCAAATCGAAGGTGAGTGATGTACTCGCCATTGACGAGTATGTTTACCTGGGACAAATAGTCCGACTAGGTAACTCCAACTTCGACCGAGAGGTCAATCGACGGATTTAACTTGGTTGGGTAGCGTTCGGGAAATACGGCACATCTTCTCGTCAGGTATACCTCAAAACATGAAAACGAGTGTTGCGAGTGATGACCTATGCAACTGAGACGTGGTCCTTCACTGCTGGCTGGATGAGGAAGCTTAAGGTCGCTCAGCGAGTTATGGAGAGGGCTATGCTCGGAGTTTCTCTGTGTGATAAACTTAGAAATGAGGATGTCCGCAGTAGAATCAGAGTGACCGATATAACCCAACGGATTAGTAAGCTGAAGTGGCAATGGGCCGGCCATACCTATAGCTCGAAGAACCGATAACCGATGGGAAAGAAAGGTTCTCGAGTGGCACCCTCGTATCGGCAGGCGAAGTGTAGGGCGCCCCCCCACTAGATGGAGCGACGACCTGGTAAGACATGCAGGACGTCGAAGGATGCAGGTGGCTCAGGACCGTGCTTTGTGGCATTCCTTGGGGGAGGCCTATGTTCAGCAGTGGAGTTGTGAAGGGCTGTAATTAGGCTTGCCTATTGCGGATTTTCCGGGACGTCCTGCTTCAGGGTCAATTTTGGACCGTCCCGCCGTAACCCCTTGCGGGACACCTTTTGTCCCGGAAATCAGTGATTATATGATATTAGTATCAATCTCGTACCAACTACACCTTAGCGGTAGCTTCGATACCACTTTCAAATGCATCAGCAGAGAGAGTGTTTTCTCTCTGTGGATATGCATGGACAGACAGCAGAAATAAGCTGTTTGTTGACAACATCAAGGCTGAACTACAAATTAACATTAATTTTGATCAAAAATGCAGGGACAATATATACAATGCATATTGTATATATTGTCCCGCGTAATATACCCAAGCCCCGGATGTCGAGCTGGGTAATCCCGGAAATGCCTTTTTTGGCGTTGGCAAGCCTAGCTGTAATGATCATGATGATGATTCTGTGAGAGCGTGGTCCTGTCCCGGTAGAGCCGACTCATTCCTGCTACAACCAAAATATAGTTGCAGTATGGCTCTACCACGAAATAAAAAAAATACCATACCATTAATATAGAAAAATATATTAATGGTATGTAACAAAGAAGAAGAAGCTCATTCGAAGCAGGACGATAGTTATCTTATTAATTAGTCCTAGGTGTATATTTTCTACAATATTTATTTATGTGAAAGTTATTTGAAGTTTTGTCGAAATCCAAAAATGTCGGATTATTTAATCAATTTCCAATTAGTTTACACACATACACATAAAGGCGGAGTCTTAAAATAGTTATAACAATATTACAATGTTGTGATTGCAAGATTGTTTATTACGCAAACTCTACACATTATATAAAACTACTTTAAGCCATTTTATCAGGTTTAGAACTTGTTCTTTAAACGCCACAGTCCCCACAGTGAATTGTCACGGGTGCTGTAAAACACTCGAAACGTCAGCATTTAAAAACAAATTAAATTAAAGGCAATGAAATTCGTAAAAGTAGTTTTATACAATGAAAATTATTTAAATACTATGTGTTCTGATTTATGTAACTTTTGTTATAATCTTTCTCAAGAGCTTTTTACCTGTTTTCCAATATGTATTTATTACACTCTGTGATTTTTACTCAAACATTTTTTGGGTAAATTATGGTTAAAATTATGCATTTAATTTTTTAATGATTAACAATGGAATTCATAATCAAAGAACAGTGTGAACAGTCCCCTTAATTCAATCCTACACTCAACATTTAAAAAATACGCACCATTTTCTGATATTACGTGATAAACACACCCGGAACAATTATATGTAGGCCACAAAATACTTGTTCCGTAAGGGATTCCAACTTACGGTCCTCAGCATCCCAACTCAATGCTTAGTCATCAAATCAAATTTTTATTAATGAATATTGAATCAAACTTGTCTTTTATAAACAATCACTGAAGAGTTCTCTACTTATCATGCTTTTTTTATATAGGATAAGGTGACAAACGTGCACACAGTCCACCTGACCTAAGTGGTTACTCTGACCCATAAACATCTACATCTATCCTCAATAAAGACTCAAAGATGCAGATGCGTTGTCACCCGTGAGGACTAAGATGGAATGCCTCTTTGCCAGTAAAAAGGGTCACCGGTTCTCTACACTCACCATACGAAACACAGCAGCGTTGAGCTGCTATTTTACGCTGGTTTTCTGTGAGAGCGTGGTCCTTCCTCGGTCGAGCTGACCCATTCGTGCTACAACTATACTACTAATATAGCTGTAGCATCGCTCTACCACGTTAGAACTTATGAACTTGTTTATGGGTATCACTTTCACAGTTAATAAAAATTTGGAAACCAATAAATATATATATATATATATATAATACCCACCTGATGATTTCTCTGGTTATTCTAACAAAGTACTTTTGTAACTTAAAGATGTTGAGTGTGCGCGTGATTGCGCGTGGTTCTTTAAATTATATAACAAAGTATTTACATATATGGTGTGTAATAACTTTTATTGATTCCCTTAGTATAAATCATTTGACGTCAGCGACAGTAATAATACTTGCTGAAGACATTTTATAGTAATACTAGATTTTAGAGCTTGGGGATTGACGTGACTTGTTGTTTTCTTTCTTGCCACAATTCTGCCATAGTTCGTTTTATGATAGTTGGGTTATAGCTATGGTTATTCTGCTATAGTACATCTGTTAAAATGATGGTTTCTTTTTTCTATGAAATGCTTAAATGTTGAATTCGCCACAAAGCATCGGAAATGTTCTCTAGGGCAGCCCTCTCTTGACTATGGATTCCAGTGTTAGTGTGATACGACTAGAACTTTTAAATTGCTTACATTTAATTGAAATAAAGGAGGGATTTGTTTCCAATTGCATTAATTTATTTACCTGTGCTTACTAACGATACTTCGCAACGTAAATAACAAAGCTCAATTGTTGGCCAGTGGACCTGCCCGAGATCAAAGGCAACCACCGCAAGTTCCGAACCCTGGTTACGAGCTACATAGGTACTGTAGGGCCGCGTGATGGCGCTGTTTTTATGTCTTTTGTGTGCGTCTTTGTATGTAGATGGGGGGCGGGTGTTGGTGTTTCCTTGGTCGTAATTAAATTTATACTTTTTACGCGTATTTGTTGTAGGCTCTATTCATTCTTCCGTTTTGCAGGTAGTACGATAAGACTACCTGCAGTTGTTTATTTAAAAAGAATAAATAAATAAAAAACATACGAAAACTTACAGAAATTTGCAGAAGAATTACAGAAAAATATATTTTCACTAAAACACCGAAACTTATTTATAAATATTTCTTTATACCTTGCCCGATATCCAGTAAGGTGTTCATTTAAGATCTAAAACATATTGATCAGTAAAGAATTCATTTAGGATTCTTTACTGATCAATATGTTTTAGCAACGAGTTACCTTATAGCAGGAAGTCGATATACTAGCTGGTTCAAGACATGCATAATTCTGGGCTAGCTGTTTGCACCTACTTTTGGCTTTGTTCCGTGACTGTGTTTAGCTAAAAACTTGTAATCATCGTCATTACGAAATGAAGGGAAATTAAATGAATATATAATAAGATCCATTATTACATTGCAACCATTTACATGCAATTTTTACATTATCTTAGCTTGTTTATTCGCTATATGTTCATTTTAAATCACCAACACCCTAACCTTTCGTTTGTAGGAGTTTTTGTTGATAAATGTTATATTGTAACTTATTAACGTTTAACAAATGTGAGAGTTTTTTTTTAATTTCAATGACGCAAATTTTTGTATTTTTTTTTTGTATCAGGCATGTAGAGAATTACTTATTTTTTATTCGAATGCTATTTTTTTTTCATAATTTACAAATAAAGTTACCAGCATGACGTTAAGTGAGAAAGTATTTAAAAGTCATGCACGTGACCTATTTCCCCCTCTAATTAAAAAAATGTTGCCATTTGAAAATAATATCTGTGTTTTTTTATTCTTTCTTTCAAACAATTGTCCGTAATCGGATTCTCGCGCGCGTCTCTGGAGGTCTGAGTAAGTCCCTAAGAGTTGATGGATTGACTGTCTCTGTTGCAAGCATGACATTGTGTTCGTTCGACAATTTGACTGGACCCTCTTGTTACTTATTACTATAAAAAAAACGCTTGAATGTTGTAGAATTATTGACTCAAAACAATAATAGTTAAATTGAAAACATTTCTTAATTTAAAAACATCTGAGAAATTTGCTTGGTTTAACAAAATTCAAACGTTTTCATTCTTCCATCCTACGTGTTTTTATACTTTTCCTATACCGCTGGAATGCAGTGGCACCATCCTGATTTTAGTTTAGTTATAAAACCTCTCCTGGTAGCTAGAAACCTGGATTACTTTTCATATCCATTTTGAATTGAACTTATCCTAGAATAACTACAAAAATTATGTTTCTGTCTGGTTCTTCCTTTAATATTCATGATTTTAGGTATAAATCAAAATTTGTCGTGTATACGTTTTATCGCTAAAGACTAAAAATAAGGATACTTTTTACACAATATAGTTCATGTAAAATATTTACACTTTTTAAAGTAATCGACCAGTATTCTGTCATACCTACTCTGTTCTTATACGCATGTTTATAATTTTAATTTTTTTCTTCATTTTTTCTTTCTTATTTCTTAATGAGCTTTCTAAACAAACAAAGTTCAAATTAATTTGCAACGCCTAATGACAAGCTGATTTGATGCAGTGCTTATAAAAATTTTATTCATTAGTGTTTACAATCTTAACTCTGTAGTTTTATTTATTTCTAGAATTATTGTGATGTTATAAATATTTAAAAAAATAACAATAATTAAAAGGAGATGTTCGTGTTAAAATTATTTGCTTTGTAATAAAAAACAATTAATAACACCACAATACTTTCTATGTGAAAGAAAAAATATATATACCACCATGTGTAAAGCATTTTAATATGTTTTTAGCCCTGAAACATTCGCCATCGAAGAGAAAAAGCATCGCCAAGCCGGTAAAGCCACAAGAGGAGATCGATACTCCAGGTATGTGATTGCAATTGTTAAAAATAAATATGGAAATTAAAAACAAATTAGTAAGTATTACAGCAGGTGCTCATATTAGTTAAAACTAATACTGTAGTCCATAGATTAACAAAAATAGTTTTTAATTCTATATTAACCTACGAGTAGCTAGTACCTCAAACTATTTCTAACACTAAGTGGATGCGAGCTTATTTTTAGTACCTATTTATTATTATTATACATTTCAGTTTATTTTTGTCCCCACCCTGAATCCCTTCCGGTGTTTGTGACCTTCGCTGTTGTGATTTTTTCGATTTTATTTTCAATTTCGATTTTTTTGTTTTATTATTTTTAATTTCGGACTTATAATTGTACCCTTTTGGCTCTACGCGTTATAAGTGTTTTTGAACGCTACGCAAAAAGCTGGTGATGTTTCTGTGTGCTATAGTGTTGGTAAGTGTAAAAGCCGTAAACAGGAACGGCACGGTCAAAACTGCCCGTTGGGTGAAACGAAATAAACTGAAATGTATCAAAAAAATAGTCCCAAAGCCGACTAGTGTTCCTTTTAACTTGGCCGTCTGTTACACAGGACGAAAACTCGTCGGCAGACCAATTAAGGACTATAACCCTGATCTACTACTAAGGCAAACGTCCCGATTGTCGCCGAGATCTTCCCTAAGATCTAGCATGAGTGACTTTACCGACACAACCATATCAACATGGAATCAGAGACACCAGTTCCCTCCAATACCAACCGAATATCCGTCAGTGCTTTCTGACAGATTAAAAATACCTGACCGAGACAGAATAGGCACTTTTCAAAGGCGCATTGACTTCGACACATCGAACCTGACGGCCAGAGAACCGGGAACCTCGTACGCCGACAATATGTATCGTTCCTCAATTCAAGACAGAATGGAATCTTTATCGGATCAATTGACAAAAGTATTAAGTACGGGAGCGGGTAGTTCGCACATAAACGGTAGTTTGGCGGACAGCGGCATCCAAACTGATAACACCAGTACAAGCGTTCCACAAATATACGTAGCTGATGCGAATAACACGTTTGCCCCAGTTATTAAAATATTAAAAGACGCAGCGGTCGATACGAGGAACGAAAACAACCTCCAAGATATACCTTTCATTGATGATGACGACGACGAAAAACAGTGGAAGAAGCGGTCGAATATTCTAGAGAAACACAAAAGCATGTCGAACATACCAGAGAGAATAGACGAAGTTAGCTCGAAAGAGCATTCGAATGAACGACTATCTAGCAGCTTTAACAGAGCCAAATCGCCAACTTTTGTGGATAAATTTAAGAAATTCTTCATGGATATAGGCTTAGTGAAAGCTGAAAGTACACCAACGACAAATACCGAGACGACTAAGAGGGATGCCAGTACGCTACCGAAAAGTCTGAACTCCAGTTACAGGACCAGGAGCGTCACCCCAATAAGAACCGAGACGCGGGACGCGTCGACGCTACCAAAAGACATGAGATTCCGAAAAGTGAGATCGACGCAGACTGTATATATCAGAACGGAATCGCCAATCCCAATGAAAACTGACCACGAAACACAGACAAAAGAGCACGTATCCGTAGTTCAACTGAACGGAGACGAATATATCAAGGACTCTGAATCAGATGGGCTTGTTAAAGAAGTCGTATATGTGAGGAGTCTGGAAAAGGCCGCCATTTACTCCGGAAATGACAGCGGTAGCACAATTATAGTGGTTCCTCCTGCAGATTGAAATACTAAGACGATGTGTTAGGATAAGTATGTAGATGTGAATAAATGAGAAATTGCGTGGATATCCACTTGTAAATGTTGACGATATAACATTGTAAAGTAGATTACTTGGTGTACTTTTGACATGATGAACATGCATTTAAAAATATCTATTGACTTTTTAAACTCGCCGCGAGAGATGTTCTTTGTTTGCTAATAAAATCTAAAAGAGAAAGCAAATAAAATAAGATTAAGTCAGAATATGTAACAATCATTGTGTTAGATACACATATGGTTAGGTTCGTATAACGTAAATATTATTTAAAGAAATAAAAGTCGTCAATGAATGGGTCAGAGTTTGCCGTTTATGTGATTGTTTTGGTTTATGGTATGTTCTTTTCAGAGGTTATAAGCAGATGCTGACAATATATTTCTGTGAATAATCTCCCCCTATTAGTAACCTTCACTCGTGTGAAATAAAAAACGTTTTATGACGTAATTAATTTTTGTAAATAAATATAATCGTTTTGTGCGTCTGTGGCCGTGTAAATTCTGACCGTTTGAGGTCATATTAGCCATGAAGCTAATACAAAGGGGAGACGGCATAAGCAACTGTGCACTGTGATTCTAAGTAGGTCCTGACGTCATCATAGTGGGCGTGGCTTTAGTTAGTATACTGTCAGCATTCGTCCTGAGCGCTTATGTGCTGAAAAAATCGCAAATCGGTGTATTTTCGTAGAATTAAGAAGAAAAGGATGAAGTGTTGTGTTTTATTGTGTAAAAACTACTCAGATAGACGCTCTGATGTTATGGATGGCATCACATTTCATTTGTAAATAATTTTACACCTAATTTATTAAAATAGTTCTAGAAAATCTCTTTGCGTCGGCTTTCAAATATAATTAAATATATTCGACACTAGATGGCGACACTTTGTGTCATGTGAACTAAAAATATAAAGGTCCGTAGAGCTCAGTATTGGTAAAATAATCATACGATGGTGCTGAAATTTGTTTTGCATTCAGACATAAAGAAATTTTAATCGCCAATATATTGTTTTTATACTTTATAATCATTTAATCATTTTGAGAACAGGCCGTATTCTCGTCAAGTAAACCTCATAAAAATGACAAAAAGACAGGGCCCTAATTAGAATTCAATCATTTTTCCCAGAAATCCAACTTTTAATATTAAATGCAGGAAATTGTACTTATGCTGATTTTTACGAAATGTTTAAGTTATATTTAAGTGACATTCTATATGCAAAGAATCACTTAAATACAATTTAATGTTCTTAGATTGGCATTCAAAATGTGCATTCGGATGCCTAATTTGGAATAAAATATTTATATTTTAATTGATTTGTAAATAAAATTATATTAATTATAATAATTTGTCTATTATTTGTTCTTCCTCAGAGATATTAAGTAGTATAACCCACACATAAATAATAGTCCAGCCGTTACTGCGTGAAAAAATTACACATACTTAGTGTGGAATAAGCTCAAGGAGACAGAAAGAACACACAAAATTTCGCCTTTATAATATTAGTGAGATAAATAGGATATTTAGTTCCAAATTAAGTATCCTACTTAATATTAAACATAGAATATTTAGTTTCAAAGAGACTTTATTTTATGGATAAAATAAATATTTCTTGAAGGTTGACTTTCACGAAATGATAAACATATTTAAATTGTATTTAAGTGATTCTTTGCATATAGAATGTCACTTAAATAAAACTTAAACATTTCATAAAAATAAGCCAAGTACAATTTCCTTCATTTTAATATTGAATGTTGGGTTACTGGGTAAAATAATTGAATTCTAATTGCGGCCCTGTCTTTTTGTTATTTTTTATGAGGTTTACTTGACGATAGATGGCGGCCTGTTTCTAAAATTATTATGAAAACTATAAAAATATTATTATTGGGATTAAAATTTCTTTGTCTGAATGTATTTGATTCATGAGATAGACGCTCCGATGCTATGGATGGCATCACATTTCATTTGTAAGTAATTTTACACCTAATTTATTTAAATAGTTCTAGAATAATCTCTTTGCGTCGGCGTTCAAATATAATTAAATATATTCCACACTAGATGGCGACACTTTGTGTCCTGTGAACTAAAAATATAAAGTTATAAAGGTACGTAGAGCTCAGTAATGATAAAATAATCATACGAAGGTGCTGAAATTTGTTTTGCATTCAGACATAAAGAAATTTTAATCGCCAATATATTGTTTTTATAGTTTATAACATTTTGTGGACATGCCGCCATCTACCGTCGAGGTAGCTAAGCTACATTGCAACATCGATATAGAAAGATTCGAGTAGTTTTACTATTTATCGGTAGATGTAGATAATGTAAAGTGGGCGGGGCTTTGCATCCCCTCACCCCGCAAATTGTCACGCGTTGTTACATAGTGAAATTTAATTACAACGTCTCCTCTTTGTATTTGCTTCATGATATTAGCACACAAAAATTGCTTTGTCGGTACGATGTTTCATAATTTTGTTAGGATCCGATTGGTGGCGCTGTAGTCGGGTTATTAATACATATCGTATTTTTACACTAACTCATAGCGCCACCTACCGGAAATGGCAAACAAGGTCTGCCAGGCGAGCTAGTTTCATATAATTTATTGTATGAGACTAGCATGTAATGACGACCTAGGTTTTTGTAATGACATAAACCTGTATTTAACGTATTTGTATATTTTGATAAATAATTTAATCTAAATCAGAAAAGGTAGTTTTGAAACACTAATAAAAGAGCTAACTCAGATTTTTTTTTTAATATCTTTTAATGATGGTATCAACTATCCAATTTTTGTTATTTATCCAAATTAAATTTATTTATTACAAGTGACTTTGACAAAAAGAAGATTTTTTCTGAGAATAATTTATACATCGGCTTATTCTGTTTATCGGAAGTTCAACTGCCAAATCCTGAAAACTGTCAAATGACTTTCATTAAAGTTATGTTTTACTTAATTTTATATTAATCACACAAAAAAAATTAATTACATATTTTTATATTATATTGTTATAATGTTGACATATCTTTTATAATATTTAATTCTTATAACATTCCTTTTGTCACAAATAGTATCGCACAAATAGTATGGAAGGTAGGATAGCATACATTCAATATATTCTGAAATAAAACTAAAGTAAACCTTTTGGCATTGAAGAAAAACAAAAACATTTTTTTTCACAACATATAATTTGTGTTTTTAGAAATTTTAGTCACATGACTTGTATGTATTACAATGTAAAGTTTGTATGCCTCTTAAGAAAACTGGTGTGGTTTGGAATGGTGTATGTAATAGGAAATTCCTTTGTAAATGTAATATATAATCTGTTAAATTAATAATAAGCTACCTCTAGACAATTGTATGATATACTGTGATCCCTGTATGGAGGCGTTCATTACTTAATTTTACCGTATCTTTTAAAATGTATCGAATATAATATAACGAGATTCCAAATATAATAACATATTATAGGGTGTGTGCCTACAGATAATTCCATATGCATCCATATATTATTTATGTGACTGAAAATTAATAACAATATAAAAACATACCTAAAAAATTTAAAAGAAACTTTTGCAGTGTCCGTGTGCACAGATCCTAACTCTTGTTTTTAAATTGCATTATTCAGCATACTTTTGTGTATCTAACGGTTACTTTTTATTATTATTTAAAAACGGTCGAATACACGGGCTCAGCAAGCCTATTCGCTAACTTAGTTGACATCAAAATGATAGTCACTCGGCATATATTGCGCCGTATGCTATATTTTTCTATGAGAGCTACCGTGGCTTATAAAACATACGATGCAATGTATTACAAAGTATAATTTTGATGTCAACCAAGTTAGCGAATAAGCCCGTAGGTATGTGACGTTCAAGACCAGTGTGATAAATGATATAATATAAGTCGAATTTGTATATAATGATAAATACCAAATATACGTGAAACGTGTGATGTGAAACAAAGATGTCGATGTTTTCGAGTTTGTGTATTCAGCCGTGATATATAATAATTTATTTTAGTTATTTTCGATCGTGCTTTACTCTAACTGTATAATGTATATGTAGTGCTGGTAACTTGTTTTATATCGAGCTATTGATGTTTTTACGCCTATAATATTATGACCAATATTTATTAATGTTGAAATAAATGAGATTCAAACTATATTCGGTTGTTTTATTCGAAATCTCTCGGCGTGTCAAGTTTAACTTGTAATTAGAATGAAATAATTTTGTTGTTCTCTGCTGTCATAATATATGCGCATTTTTTTGAGATGCTCCAATATAGATAAGTTTAAAATACTATTGAAGCAATTTCTTCTTAATAGGGCATACTACAGTGTGAAAGAATATCTCGAAGACAAATATGAAATTCAATAATTGACTGTTACATGACTGAGAATAACTAAATTTACTTGACTAATACAATATTATCTAAATTGACTTATCGCTATTATTTTTGATTTTGTATCATGTGAATTCCAATTTTAACAAGAGTATGTTTAAGTAATTTAATATAAAAGTAATAAAATGTGATGGACATTGCATGCCAAATGGCGGAATATAGCTGTACTAAATGTTTGTTCTATAAGTGATAAACTATGTAAACACCAAGTGTATCAACCTATATTCGGAATAAACGATTTGAATTTGAATTTATTTTACCTTATTAATAATAAAACAGTTTTAATATAATTAATTTTTATTAATAACTGTTGTTACATCCGGATATATATTGGTTTATAAACAAATTTCAACTTTTTCTAAAAGGGAATAACTTAATATATGAACAATATTATGTTATAATAGTTATTATATAATATGTCATTAGTTCTACGAATATAACACTTTAATATTTGCACGCTGTCGTAACGGATTAGGCGCGGCAAGTTCGAGCGGCGCCGTCGGAGTTAAAGCAGGTGAGACTGAAATTAGGTTCAAATCTATTTTGACCTGTAGATACGAATCCCTTGAGCTGCT